ATAGTTAAACCAGGAAGAGACACATCTCCTTGGATAGTCATAGAAATAACAAGCTGAGAATGTTTGAAGTAAAACCAGAACATTGATAGGGGCAATAGAACAGAGAGATGTTCAGGAGAGAGAATCGTCTAGGCTAGAAAACTAGCTGTGGGCGGCTGGGATTGTGGCTAGTGGTACAACACTTGCCTAGCACATATGAGACACTGGGTTTGATACTCAGCACTGCATAAAAATAAATAAATAAAATAAAGATATTGTGTCCATCTCTAGATAAAAATATTTTTTTTTTAAAAAAGAAACCTAACTGGGCAGTGAGAGAGAAGTTAACAGTGATGTTTCAGTTTCCAGTATAAGAAATGGAGAGTATATACCACATACAAAGATGGAGCAATTTTTAGGGGTGTTTTACTTCCTTCTGCTACTAAGAGTTCAGTAGTTCCTTCTACTTACATGCATTTTATCCTAATATAGTACCTAAAAACTCAGTTTGGTGTGTGGTAAGTATCATAATGAAACAAATGATTCTTTACTTAGACCCACCAAACTTGACCCTTGACAAACGTTTTGTAGTCTTCTGTAGCCCATGTTTTCTCCACCCTTCTCAAGTCATAGTAAATTATCATTAAGGACCTTTACTAGGCAAATCTCATACACTTTATGAGTTCTTCTTTTCAGGGTAGTAGACCATTCTGAAGAAAACCTGATGAACTCAAAAAACTTGGGGGTGATATTTGGACCCTGTCTCATGAGGCCCAGGCCTACAACCACTCCTGGTACCATCTCCTCCTCTCTTGCTGCATATGCCAATCAGGCCTTGTTGGTAGAGTTTCTCATTACCAACGCACAGATGATCTTCGATGGGTCCCTAGAGCCACACAATGTTTCGTGTAGTACAGATATTATTGCACCTCGGGTGGATAAAAGCTGTCCTTACAAACCTGTGATGTCAACAGAACATTCCACAAAGTCACAATATTTTTCTATAAAGCAAGTGAGTTTTGACCATTATAGTATTGCATTAAATTTGTGATGTTTATGTTAACAAATTAATAGTCTTTGAACTGTTTGTTTTGAGATGTGTTTTGCTTTTAGTTTAAAACTTTTCTTGTATCAATAGGATATCCACACTGCAGATATTGAAATTGAAAAATTTGAATCAGCTACATCATTTGAGGAATCAGAATGCAAGAAAAATGCATTGGAAAAATGGGGTGCATGTCTCATTGGTGAGTAGTCATGTAACATATTTGTTTGCATATTTCAAACTTTGCCAAGAAGTCATGATTAAAAACCAAGGTGAGGGCCGGGCTTGTAGCTCAGTGGTAAAATGCTTGCCTTGGCATATATGAGGTCCTGGGTTGGATCCTCAGTACCATATAAAAATAAATAAATAAAGATAAACATATTGTGTCCATCTACAATTCTTATTCTTTCAAAAAAAAAGGTGAATTAAGTTGAGGTAAGTTCAAACTTCAAGGTTTTATTAGTTAACTTTGCTAGCCATTGAGAAAGATTAATGAATGTCATTTAAATGAATATCATGCTTTGTTTCTTTCTTGTGAAAAGGTATCTAAAATTCATAAATTATTTTTGTTTTCTTTCTGAAATTTGTTTTCATTTTACTTCTTTGTCATCAATTAAAGTCAAAGTAGAAAATAGCTGGACTCCTGAAACAAAAAATTGACTCCTAAAGTTTTTTGATGTCCCTTTACCTGTGACCTACCTTTAGCACATTAAGCACACATGTCTTCCATTTTCTTGGCTCCAGTCCTTTTGTTCACTGTTTTTTGATCATTTTATTTCAGTGAATGGTTTCTGGTAAGGGGGTTGAAAACCTTCTATTCATTACTGCTTTAGTAGAGCTAAATCCGAATTTTTCAACATATAGCCATATATATTAAATTTGATATATAAAATTAATGAAATATCAATGAGTGTAGCCTGAGAAAGTTTGAAAACAAAGGGAGTCCATTACCTCTCTGCAAAGAAAAGCACTGGACTCACTGATTCCATTGATCTGATTTGATCTTATTAGCACTTTTTGTGCTATGAACCTTGGCCTCATTTAAGTCATAGCTAACAGTCTGAGGAAGGTTAATAATGCCAAGGGTCATGTCCCTAAATTATTGTTGATTCAGGACTTGAACCTCATCCTGTCTCATTCCTAAATGTAACCTTGTTTCACCGTCCAGTGCAATTGGATTCCCAGTTAGGTATAGTAATAACAATAAATAAATTTAAAATATTTTGAAGTTTTCATTACATACCAGGTAATTCTGAGCCTTTTCTTTAGTAGATCACTAACACCACATGCTATCATAGCTCCATATAGGAGTGTGTCTTGACAGAAGAAGGCAGGTAGGGCTAGTGCACTAGACTTGCCCAAGGTAGAACTGGAGCAGGAGCTAAACCAGCACTCAGGCAGCTGGCTGCAGAGTCTGTACTCTTCATGGTGCTAGAAGTACTGCAGGATTGTAAAAGTGCTCTGGTGTTTACCATCCAACCACAATGGCTCAGCTCCCTTCTATCAATGTGGAGAAGGGCCCAGGGCAGCAAATCACATGAGCACTTCCTGGGAACCAGGGAAGAGAGGCCAGCAGCCTCAGGTGAAGAAGGAGGTCAGATGAGATGATAACCTGCCACTGATGCTGGTGTACACCTGTCTGCAAACCACTGCCCAAGAATATGGGAGAAGGACCAGGTGGCAGGGATGAGGACTGTGGGCTATGAACAGGGCTGTTGGAAAGCCGTCAGACCACTGGCAAGGCACAGAGTTGTCTGATGTTTCTCAGCAGGGAAAAGAGGATCATGGCCAGAGGGCTGCACCTCAGACAGAGTGTGAGGTGCTAGGATTCTAGGTGAGAAAACAAGGACCTTGGGTCTAGACTAGAGGAGAAAGAGAAGGAAGTCAATCTGGAGTCACCAGGACCAGTAGCAGAATGGCAATTTTGACAGCTCTTCAACCTTCCTTTGACCAGAGGATGTTGCCTTGTATTAGTGGATCAGCTGGCAGAGCATCAAAGTCCTCTCTGGTGTGTTTCCCTCAGTATGGACAGAATGTAGCTGGAAAACAGATTAATTGACAGGCAAAGTCCTTGGGATTCAGGACATGGCATTTATTGGTTGTCAGAATAGTGTTACTGTTATAGAGTTATCATTGTCTGCCTGTTGAAATCAGGAAAGTCCTAACCCATAAAATATTAATTCATGGGTAGTATATTAAAACAAATTACTTCAGGAAGTGTTTTTTAAAATTTTATGTGCTTTGTGGGCTATTTGTTCTATTTTTTTAATTTTTATTTTTTATTAGTTGCTCAAGACTTGTTCTATTGATAAGATAAAATTTTAAAAGTAATGCTTTAATTAAAAATGTGCCTTTAATACTGTAGGGATTTTTAACTCCTCTGCATAGATGACTGAGAAAATCATGTTGGAAAAAATATGTAAGACTGTGTTGTTTGAGAGAGTGCCAATTTATAAATAACCACACTTCCTTATTGACCAAGGTCCATGAAGTTAAAAAAGATATCTTCTTTTTCAGATAACAAAGATATTGAATCATCATCCCAAAAGATGGACAATATGTGTAAAATCACGAAACCACTTAGTCTGAAATCTGATGTGGCAACAAATGATATACAGAGGCCTATGCCAAGCACCAAGATCAGATGTTTCTGTTTGCCTGTAGATAGGTTCCATCTTGCAAGCTCTCCTAATGAGAGAAATAGCAGAAATGTGGAAAATGTCAATTCAGACAAGTTTTGCCAGAATTTTACCTTTGAAGGACTTAATAGAAAAGATACCCCTACTACTGTTGGTTCCCAATTTAATGGCTTTGATCATCAGATTCCACAAAAAACTCAGGGACAACAATGTGAACCAAAGAACTTAACTGGAACAAGTGCAGTGATTGTGCCAAGTGCACTCCAGGAAAAAGTGACAATGAGCATCAAGGTTAGTGGTGACCATTCCAGCGGTGACACACAGCCCATCACGCCAGCCAGATCAGCAAGAGAGGCACCAGTGAGACTGTCCTCTCATTCTCACTGTCTTTCTCCTGCAAGAGCACCCAGAATACTGCAGCCCCATCTCTCGACAACATTTTACAAACTACTTACCCTGACCAGCAAAGTCAGGTGGGCTGAGGAGAGACCAGCTTCACTTTCAGCAGCTGTGCCTCCTAGCACAGCTCTTACTCCCCTGAGTCATGTGGAGAAATCTGTTCCAGAGGCAGACAGCACATCACCTTGTCCTTTGCAGCCAGCTGCTGAGCCTAAAGAGAACTCTGAGGAGCTCGGCCTGCCAGACATGAATCCAATGTGCCAGGGACTCAGGCTAAAACAAATGCAAGAGTTACAAGACCTTGAATTTGAAATGCCACAGTTTGTGTAGGGTTGTCAAAATTCAGTTTTTTTTTTCTTGTTTTGTTTTGTGGTATTGTGTTTATTTTATGAAAGAATGTTGTGACAGAACCCCTTTTGTATAGGATGGCCAAAGTGTGTATTTTGCCTTTTGGCCTTGTATCGTGTTTGCTAGTCCTATAGAATGGTAGTGTTTTAATCATATAGAATGATAGTGCCTCACTGGTATTGTCTTTAAATTATGTGTTTTTGAAGTTGTGCATAAAATAAGTATTATAATTTTAAATTTCGAATTATTTTCTCTATAAAATGATTCATGTAAATGCATCCTTAATGTATAATATTGTTCTCACAAATAGGGGCAGTAGGGGAAAATGAGCTTTATTTTGGAGCAAACCTGGTGCTGGTTCATAAAATATTTCTGAATCCAAGTGCCTGAAAAATCTTGATTGGGTATGAATATATTTTTGCCCACATAATGTTCTAGTGCATCTTTGACCACTTGTGTTGTTATAGTATGTATGTAAGCATTGGCAGTTCACTTAACTTTTTAATATTTACGTAGTGGACAAAAAGCTTTCAAATTTGTATTTAATTGCAATCTACTTGTCAATTTTTACAAAAATAAAATAGCCTTTTTTTGGTATGTGTGAACTATATTACAAGTCAATGTTTTTGTATGATCATGTTATACTTGATAAAAATTATATGTATAGGTTTCTACAAACATTATATAAATGTCGATTATTTCAAGTATATCAGGTTATTGTGGCTTCTCTGAAATTGCTGCCTCTTGGAGTATGATACTTTAAGATTATTAACCATTGACTCAGTGGTCAACACATGGGTTCATCACTTGACTATAATATGAAATGAGTTTTAGGGCATGTTGTCTTATAGTTCTCCATAACATTAAGGACTAAGGAGAAATGAACAAATGGCGTTTTTTATGCTAGCCCCATTTTTTTTTTAGTCTTCATTATACAGAGTACAAGAATCATACTGATTTGAAAACTTAAAAATAAAATCAGAGCTAACATTTATTGAGCCTCTTCTGTGGTTGTAGACTTTACCAAGTTGAAATTTCACAGCAACCTCCAATGGGTAAGTAAGCATTTTGTAGTTCTTGTGTTACAGATGAGGAAACTGAGGCTTAGCTAAGTGACATGCTTTTAGTTTCCAGAGATGCAGCAAGCAGATCCAAATGTCAAATACAGGGCTGTCAAATTTTGATTAGTGCTTCTTTTTTATTTTTTTTTTTGGTACCAGAGATTGAACTCCTAAGCACTTGGCCATTGAGCCACATCCACGACCCTATTTTGTATTTTATTTAGAGACAGTGTCTCACTGAATTGCTTAGTACCTTGCTTTTGTTGAGGCTTGCTTTGAACTTGCAATCCTCCTGCCTCAGCCTCCCAATTGGATTACAGGCATGTGCCACTGTGCCCGGCTGGTTAGTGCTCTTAATGAATGTGATTACTAAATAATAGTAGGAATCACTGAACAACAGAAAATGCATCTTTTGATGATTTTTATCGTAAAATAACATACAATTTGCCATTTGAACCATTTTGAAGTGTGCAGTTCAGGAACACTAAATATATTCACATTGTTCTGCAACTATACTCAAGTGTCCAGTTCCAGAACTTATTCATCATCCTGTGAGAAAACTTACATACATTTAATATGTATGTAAGTTTTAATATGTGGATACAACCCAGTCAAACCTCACAAGTAGAGTTGCACTTTCATGTCCTTCCTGGGATCTCGTCCAGCTTGGAGCCGTCAGCCTGACTGTTCCAGCTTCCCGGAGGCACTGAAGCAAGTGTCTCCTGAGAAGGGGTTGCTGTTTCTAGAGTACCCACAGCATACACAGTGCCCTGCTACCCAATAATGTGG